GTTCTGTTAGCTAGATTAAACTGGAGAAGATCCTGTCACTGCATATGCTTATCTAATCTTGTGGTCAGCAGCACCAGCATATAATAAATAACCTGCAGGGGCTCATCAGGTTCTGTATTAGACAAGTTAGTTTTACACAACCACACTACAAACTTGTATATATTTATATGCATGCAGTCTGTTTGTACTGGACTCCCTTCCAAAACCTCCCTGCTCATAGGGCTACAAACTGCATGTTTACAGAAGGCAGATTTCTTGTCTCCCTCAATTAAAAGGCCCTTTTGTTTTCTGAGTGAGGCTAGCTGCCCTTCTCTGCACAGATCATGATCTGATTTTTGTTCGTCTTGTGGGTGGATAACCAAAATTACATACAGGATAGCTGGTGAAGCTTCATCTGTATCTTGATTTCTCCTGGACTTCTGCCTTCTTTTTTCCAACTTCAGTACCACTGCTCATAAAGAGCATTGGGTTTACGGGTATCATAATACCTCTCATCTGAACACTGCCTAGTTGTGGTTATAGTGAAAAATCTTGGTTTCTGTTCTGTGTCACTGAAATGTCTTCCTCCCTTGTGTCAGTGGAAGAACTAGGACAATCCTCTCTTTCTGGGGCACTGTGTCCCAAGGTACCTGATAGAGGGAGGAGGCCATGTACTCCAACATCTAGGTTGGCTTGTCAGCCAGGATTCCTGGGGTTTAATTTCATGTCAGGGGAAAACAGTGATGTTCATTCGTGTCCTGCCACTGTTTAACGTCTTCCATTTCCTTTCTGAGGTCTTTTACTTCCACTGGACATAAGTACTCTATGTGACTTGAGGAATTTTACACTTAATTTAGTTTCAGATTTAGCTAGAATGTCTGAATCAAAATCGTTTCACTTCAGGATGTTACTGTTACCTGAATTGCAGCAGATATAACATGCTTGTGCGCTGACCTCCCATCCCTGCTTGCTTTTCTAAGCGAGGAATAGCTAGGAGGGGATCCTCAGTCCCTTGCCTGAGGACCAGCACTGAGGACCAGAACACCAATTCTGGGGTCTGGAACAGCTGCACTCTGGGAGCAGCAGACATCATCAATATTTCTAAATATTTAACTTGAACAAGAAAATTGCTAACCTGCTCTCAGCAAACAATGGTGAGCTATAAACAATGTGTGGTTTGTTTTTTTTTTAATTCAGACAGCTACTCTTTCATAGTAAGTGTCAAGCAGCTGTCTACAAGGAATAACAGATGATGTTATGAATGAGGCACTTCCTTTAGTTTCTTTAGAGTCAGTCACTTTCTGTGATGGTCACTTACACTCTTAGTGTGGTCAAAATACTAGACTGTACCAAGGCTGGAAGACTTAATTGCCAAGATGAAAATGGAGGACATGTTATTGAGGTTTTGAATGGCCATGGCAGTGTTTTGTTCTAGACAAGAAAGACTGTGTGTGTCTAAGTCTGCAGCGTTCACCCAGTACTAAACTAACCTCAAGTAGCTGGATGTTATTGTTGCATTACTGTTGCTTGGGGGAGCAAGTATTTAAATGGCTCTTCTCTCTCAGTTTGTGGATTCTTAGTACATAATTAACAGAGTATCATGCACACTAACCTAAATGCTGATTAATCCTCCTAGCTAGTGGTTCTTCAACTAGTGTACTTCTATGTAATTAAAGGTGTGAAAATATAACTTCAACTTCTTGCTCTTTTCATATGCTATCCCTTTAAGGCTGTGCAATGACAAGACTATTTATCATTCCACTTCAAGCTGGAAGGAGGAGTAGGTTTGGAGTTGAAATATACTGACCTTCATGAGTTCTGTGTGACCTTCAGATTTTTGGAGTTTAGTATCTTGATTCAAGCGCTACTAAAACTCATTTCTGTTCCGTTTAAAAATCTAAGAACATTCTTATAACTAAACATTCAGATCATCCCAAACCACTATTTTCTGCAAATGAAACATCTGTTCTCTCCTTCTGTCTGGGTCGTGATAGATTGTATCACACACTTCAGTACATTATCTTAATATTGTGATTTACAGCTGTAATATTGCTTCTCTGTGTGTTTAACTCTAGTAGTACACCGTGTTGATAAGACTGGCTCTTTACAGAAGTATGATAGTGGCTCCTGACGTACTTTAAACCTCCCATTGTGAAAATCCCTTGATTTTTCAAATAGATGATGTAATTCATAACAGTACTATTTCTCAAGCCAGATACAATTAACAGCCAACTGGATATATACAGTGACCTGGCTCTCCTTCAAAGTTAGCTTTACAGCTGTCTCATGGCTTACAGCTGGTACTTTCCATAGTAGATGATGACTTGTTTGAAGACTCAAACTGTGAGATGCTGTAATTAAGACAAGTGGAGGATATGTGGATAGATATCTAAAAAGATTTGAATGATTGAGATGTATCACAGGAACGAGATGCTCCTGAATTGGTGGCTTGGGAGAAGAGTAAAAATCTTATCTAAGATACTATTAGCTGTTACCAAGTCTCATCAAAATGAAACTGAAGTGTGTCAGACTATTGCTATCTGAGTATTTCCTTAATATTAAAATGTTAATTTTAACACATCACAGAAACTTTTTTTACCTGAGGAGCAGTTACTGACTTGTTCTCATGTTCCCATACACTTATTTGATATCACCATACTGGGAGGTCCCTTGCACATGTGATTCTTCTATCTATGGCTATGTGTCTGAGTAATGGCCTTGGTCTCCTTTGATTTCTAGTTTCTTCCCCTGCAATATCAAGTGTGTACTTAGTATGTACTAAATATATAAATGAAAAAATGTGCTCAACTTCTTTTCTTACAGGTGAGAGCTCAGAGCATCTCTAAGAACTTGATATAAGCATCAGATACAGATGAAAAGCATTGTTTAAAATCAGTTATGTTTGGCTTTTGTGTTATTGCTCAGTTTATTTAAAACATAAAAAACCCTCACCCCAACAGCATTGATTTATCTTAAGACTCATGGTTTTTGTGTTGGTGTTTAGAATGGCATACCTAGAACAGGTAAAATGTACACCATCAGCCTCTTAGTGAGACACAGAATAGTTTTGGAAAGTATATGTACAGTTGCAGTAAAGCATGAGGATAAACGTAGCATATATGCCAGATGGAAAAAACCTTAAGACTTGGGAGCTGCGAACTATCGTTTTGTAGTCAGTGGCAATTCTGTCTGAAAGCAGCATTTGTACTTGGCTGTAAAAATACTGTTAGGTGTGAGTCGCTAGGAAGTGGTAAGAGTGTCACTTAAGGACCAAAATAAGCAAGACTTCCCTAGAAGCATAGGCTAAAGACAGTATATCTTACCTCTGAATGAATGAATACATGATGCTTTTCAAAACCCTTGTACAGCATTTCAACTTGTCTTTTTCCTCTTGCTTATCTATGTTCACTTTTGTAACTCCAGTCGGTTGCCTCTGAAGCTCTGTGTTAGCTTCATATCTCAACGGTAATAGTTGACTTCTTTGAAGGGCATGTTAAAGCAGAGGTGGCAAGTACCAGTAGTGGAGGAATAATGTGAAGTTAAAAGAACCAAAATACCAAGATTTTTCCTCCTAACAAACTAGAAAAACATTTTAGTACAGTAATTTGTCAAATCTGGCATAATAGAAATTAAGTTTTCAGCAGAAAAAGGTATTACTTTCTAAAAACTGTGTAAAAATCCTGTGATCTGTAATATCTTTGAGCTAGTTTGTGGTTTTGGAAAAAGATATTTGTCTTAGATTTCTTTTAAAGGAAGAATACTTACCTTGCTTACAACACCATTAGTGAATATTCTAGGCACATTTGATCTTGCTTTAACCTGCCTGGCCCAGTGCAGCCAACAGCCTTGTCACCACACAGGACATGGAGCTGGCAACAACCCTGTGACCTAACAACCTGTGATCTAACAGAACTCCTGCTTGTAAGCTGAATCAATAACTGCATGTTTTCAAACAGTATTTAATTTTTTTCTTGTGGACTTCATAATCTTCTACAAAGCACGTGGATGCACAGCCTAAATCTCACTGAGTTGGCTTTCATGGCTTTTTGTCAGACCTGAAACTTAAAATATGCTACCTAACAGGAAAAAAAATTGCTCTTCCCCTACTGCTTAACATTTTTTTTTGCAAATAAAAAGGTGGACTTCATGCTTAATCTAACTGAAGCTCACAGTAGCAGGAAGAGTGAAATATTTGAGTGACAGAAGCAGAAAAAGCCTTCTCCTCGTTGTCTGTGGTATCCCTGATTTGTTTTTCAGCCTTGGGAAAGCTGTGATGACAGTATAGCTAAGATTCCTTTACTCTGAACTGTATAAATTTTAGACACCTTAAATATCTTCAGGTTTACCTGGCTGGGTAAACAGTCTAAAATAAAAGCTAGCAAGCAGGAGCAAACTTTTGCATAACACTCATTGTCATGCTTTAAATATCAGTCTGTTGGATTAATAAGGTTGCTAGATAAAAGGAAATAATTTACATTCCAAGATTTTTCTCTAAGTGTAAATTCTTGTTCTCTAGTTCTGTAAAAACTTTTTCTATTTTGCTTACATTTGCATAGATGCACAAAACACTTAAGGATTGCTTTAGCTTTTGAAGAGACCTAATAAGAAAGTAATAAGTATGTACAAAATACCTGTTGGGGTCAGATCAATAGTCTCTGGCAGATGTGATGAGAGATGCTATTTAGGGACCAAAGAAGCACAGCTGTCTATGGGCCATGTCCCTTCTGTTCCTCTGCCGTCCACAGCAGCGAGATCAGGAATATTGGAAGATACATCCTTGCCTTTTCTTTTTCATGTTGTTTTCAAGAAGTGTGGGCAACAAGTTCACAAACAATGGATTTTCCTAAAGGTACCTGCATAGGATTCTTGACTCTGGGTCTTCCCCCCCTCCCTTTTCCTCCCACCTTCCCCAAGTAAAATTATAGTTAGAATTTATAACATGTAATCAAAGTTTTAGGTACTAGCAGTATCTAATATCTCTCACCTGCTTTTTTTGTGTGTGTGTGTTTTTAAACAGGAAGATGAACAGAACTTAACTGCATTTTAGGACTTTACTCCTGATGGGCTGGATTTTGTCTTGGCAGGAGTTTCTGAAGATTCATGCAGTGAAAGAAGAAACAGCCAATGGCTTCAGAATCCATGGTTCCAGAGCAGACAAAACAACATCTGATAAAGGGAAAAAGGCAGCAGCAGCAAACTAGGTCTTCCAACAGTGATGGTGAAGATGACACCTTTGTATTTGAAGCAAATGAGGCTTGGAAGGATTTTCACAGCTCTCTTCTTCACTTCTTTGAAGCTGGAGAGCTCTGCGATGTTACACTGAAGGTGATGTTGTCACACGTCCGTTGCACTTAACAGTCTGAAGATTAAGCTATGAATAATTGTGCTGGAGGTCGCTGTGAATTTGGGCAGGGGTATGGAAGCCATAGAATACCTGTTGGATCTGAGGCATCTCTAGATATGCTCGTGGGGTTTTTGGTTTTTCTTATTTTGGAAGTTTACAACTGAAATGTTAAATTTACAACTTAAGATATTGACAGTCTGAGAGAGGAGTACGTAACTTTGACCTCACCCAACTTGCCTTCTAAGCAACTTCCCACAGCTGATCAGTATATTACAGTGTCATTTCAGCTCCTTGTAGCCTCTTTGTTCTCATACGCTTTCATCCCCAATTTTATCTCTATTTTTGCATTCTGTGTTGCTCTGCTGGATCTTTCCTGGCAAACAGGATTTCTGGAACAAATCTAACTTCCAGCATTGTCAAAGAAAGAAGAAAAATAAAAACATCCCAGCCAATTATGTTCTACAGCTGGTCAGAGAGTAAAGGAGAAGGAGGAAACCACTTTTATGATTCTTGCATAGCATTGCTTTAATGCATTCTTTGTAACTCAGCTGTATGTTACTTATATCCTGATCACAATAAATTTATATGTAGCAGCCGTAACAGTGGTTGCCAGCACTTACAAATATTAAACATTGCTTAGCTAGACATCTTAGTAGTGCAAGATAGTTATTTAAGAAAGAGATGAAGCACAGCTCCTCTACCAAGAACAAATGACAGATGCCTTTAGGAGAAATTGTTTGCCTGCCACTTTTACTATTAGATATTAACAGGGAAAATCCTTGACAGATGTGTGTCCCTGGTGCCCCCCCCAGTAGGCATCTGATCTTTCTAAAACTCTTGGGAGACAGTGGAAATCTCTGAGAGGAAGAGGGTTTCTGTTCCTTCTGTCCGATTGGACAACAGGAGTAGAATAAGCAAGAACATTTTTCTGTTCTGCTTCACAGCAGATATTAAATTGTCTGTCACCAGGCACTGAACAGGCACTAGATGCAGCAATGAATAGGTCCAGTGGCTCATAACAGTTGAATTAATGCTCAGAGGACACTGAATGACAATACTGAAGCTGCTCTGGACAGCATAAGAGCTGTGAAACAACTTGCCCAAGCGCTCATCATCAGGTCTTTTTACATCTGTCATTTTAAAAAGCATTTTGGGGAAAAAGGTTCATGTCAGAATTATTAACAACCCTCCTCTTCCCTTTTCTTGATCTCATCCTCATCTTTCTCCCTTTCCACCCACCCTTGCAAAAAAGGCATAAAGTCTTATTTTATAAACATCGTTAAACATATACTCCTGCTAGGAAAACTTGGCTTGGAAAATACACTTTACTGTGGCTGCAGTTTAACTTTCCCTAAGTTAGACCTGTATTAATGTTCATTTGTATTATTTCTGTGAGCTACTTTGGTAATTTAAGAATATTAGAATGCATGACTTGGCCTTCAGTCCTCAAGTAGAGAATATAATCTATGGAGGCTAGAGCAACCTATGTACATCTTACCATAAGGCTTACTAAGTCAGTCAGTGATTTTCAAGTATCTTGCACTAGAATTTTCTGGAGGGCTTGATTTTTCTTTCTCTAGTGTTCAGGCATTTCTCATGTTTTAAGAATAATTACTTCTCTGCTGAACTTTCTGCTTTTGTGCAGATAGTGACTGATTCTGGCGTTCCTGTGGACAGAACAATTACTGATTTAACTGCTGGGTCTTAAAATATGATAGTTAATAACTGGAGGGGAAGTCTGATTTTGAAATACCAAGAACATGCTAGATATTTAAAATGAAGCAGATTTGGATAAAATAGTGAAGCCACTTAACCCAAAAGGAAGATCTAATTAGAGTGGGATGATGAGCAGAATAAAAATCTCTGAAGGTGAGAATGGCCTAAGAGCTTTCCCTGATACAGCAGACCAGCTGGTAGCATCTTTTTGTATCAATACTATAATTAATTGGAGTGCTGATACTGTAACAGTAATAAACTGTGGGAGCATACAGGGAGACTTCCTCTGCTCTGAAAAGTTAAAATATGGAATTTCACCTATTGTACTGCTACTGTCATATGAACAACTCCCTGTTAGAAGGCAGAGTGTGGCAGATGCATACCATCTGCTTTTCTCCTGTTGGTCTGGGGTTTTGTTCATTTGATAGGTCTATGAATTGTTCCTTCTGGAGTGATCTAATTAACTCACACTGAACCATCCCTCTTTTCTTCTCTTTTAATCTGCATACTCTTTCATGTGTGTTTGCTTTCTGTACTCAACTTACTGCTCCCCAGCCAGCTTATACTTGTGTTGATAATACCTTTTAAAAGGGTAGAGCAATTGTGTATTGAATCAGAGCTAGGAAAAACTCCAAATTATCCTTTATAATTTAATATCCTTTTTTTTTTTTTTTTAAATTACAAGACACCTTACTGTAACACCTTCATCTGAAAATGAACATGTAATTCGAGTCTGTCAGGAAAACTGATTGCTTAACTTGGCCATCCCTTTATGTTAGTGCAGACTGCAGAATGACACAGGCTGTAAGAAAGTACTCCTGTAACACAAATAAGTAGCGGATTGTTGTTTATCTTCAATATTTACATTCTCTTTTAATGTAATTGAATTCTATAATTTTGTAAGTGAAAAGTTTATTTTGTGCTTTCTGATCAGAAAGCCTCATCTTTATGGGGAATACTCAAATTTTGTGGCTAAACAGCTTCTAAAAATGTTGAAGTGATTTGTAACTTTTAATAATCCCTGTAATAGCTGTTATTACTGCAGTTTTACATGAATTTGCTTCTATAAACAGCATTATCAATTCCTCAACAGTAGTAAAAGTCCAGAGGTTTAAATTAAGTAGTCTAAAAATGTCATGTTACATTTTTTTTCCCCCTTAAAGTCTCTGGATACACATAAACCAAAGAAGTTCCTAGCAGTCGTCTCCTGTCTCCAACATGCATCTAGAGGGTTCTTAAGGATGTTTCATTTAAAAAATAGGGCACAGCTCTTAAAGAAAAGCCAGTTCAGTGCATCAGTGCTATTGCTTCCTTGTGTTATGGCCTTGCCCTACTCTGGCAGCCAAGTTACAACTCAGATCTGCTTGGGATACGTTGATCTAGCGTCAGAAGTACAGGACAAATGGAGGTAATTTGTTTGAACAAAATACAGTAGCTCAATGCATATTGAGTTCAGAATTCTTATTTCAGCTTAACTGTCTGTCCTTTCATAGCTGAAACTGACATTGCAGTAAAAGATTAGGGTTTTTTGGTTTTTTGTTTTTTTTTTTTCAGGTTGGTTCAAAGCTTATCTCCTGCCACAAACTGGTGCTAGCTTGTGTCATACCTTACTTCAGAGCCATGTTTCTTTCAGAAATGGCTGAAGCCAAGCAGACGTTGATTGAGATCAGGGACTTTGATGGCGATGCAATAGAAGACCTAGTGAAGTTTGTGTACTCCTCCCGGCTTACTCTGACAGTGGATAACGTCCAGCCTCTCTTGTACGCTGCTTGCATTCTTCAGGTGGAACTGGTCGCAAAGGCATGTTGTGAATACATGAAGCTGCACTTCCATCCCTCCAACTGCCTGGCAGTCAGGGCTTTTGCAGAGAGTCACAATCGCATTGACTTGATGGACATGGCTGATCAGTACGCTTGTGAACATTTTACAGAAGTGGTGGAGTGCGAAGACTTTGTGAGCGTCTCACCACAGCACCTCCATAAGCTCCTGTCCTCCAGTGACCTGCATATTGAAAATGAAAAGCAAGTTTACAATGCTGCTATCAAGTGGCTGCTAGCCAATCCACAGCATCATGCTATATGGCTGGATGAAATACTTGCGCAGGTATGGCAAACCAAGGCACCAGATTCCTGACTCATCACTGGTTTAGGTGCATAATCAGCTGTTTGTACTTGGGTAGATCTCAAGCTGAAAGGTGTTCTTAGATGGTGCCTCCTCTGGTATTCAAAGTTGTGAGTTGACAGCAGAAGCAGGTTAGATCTCCTGAATCAGGAAGAAGTCGTAGTCTCCATTTTCTGTAGAGAGAAGAGTACTCACTTTATGCTCATGGCTGGGGGGTGGGGAGCCAACAAAAAGCTACATCTGTGTTAGAGCAGAAGCTTCTTAGATTTACACATAGTGCAGAATATAAAGCCATCGCTTCACTTGGTTTGATACTACTACAGCCTGAAATGCTCACTTTGCTTGCTGGTAAGTATTTGTACTTAAGAGAGCAAAGCTGTTGAGGGTTTTTTTACATGGCTAGGAGAGTAAAACTGTAACAGAGGTGGGTCATAGCAAGTTGCGCTACTTCTACAATGTTCTGTATATTTAATTAACAAAAGACCAAGGTGTGTTAACCCTACAAGCAGGCTAGGAAACATGTTAGACTCTTTAATGCTCACTAGACTAGCACTGCTGGTTACCTGTAAGATCCAAAAGGAGTTTGCAGTTTAATCATCTAGACTTGGTGCCAGTCCACTGCTTCTGAAAGAAACACATACAGGTACCAAAGGTCACTCAGCTGAACTTATTTAAACACCCATAGGATCTCCTCTTGTCAAAGTGTTAGGTACTTCAGTTACTCAAGATCCATATGTGCTAGTTACGGGACTTTAAAATACAGAATTTGAGACATGTAAGGAGAACCTGTGCCGGGGAGGAGGGCAGTACATGCCATGCACTGCAAAACGCCCTATGTATCTTAGCAGGTAGGATCAACTGCTGTTTCAGTTGGCACTGGTCTCCACTTTGAATATTTTGCATTTGGCAGAATTGCTAATATTGGTATCATGTGAGTTACAAGAGGTCTACTAACATCCTGCTGTCTTTGTCTTCATGCATCATTTTTCACATTTCCTGGTAAAAGATCACAACTGTTTATTAACTGTCTTGCAAAACCCTTCAGTTTCATCTAGACTAGCATAAGGTTTTTGGTACAAAAAAACCTTTAGTACACAATAATTAAATTTACAGGCAATACAATTTGAGATTTAAAAAAAAAAATTAGACTGACTTTTATTGCTGAGTTGTGCTAGCAGATGAGATTAACAGCTTTGTTCTATTCATGGAAACCAGAGTCTAGAATGAAGCAATGAAAAAGTAACCCCCTTCCTGTAAATAAGGGTTATTTGCCAGAGTATATGGAGCCATCGGTTGATTTGGACATTATTGCTAGCAGAAAACACTAGTGGGCTTTCTTGAAAGTTATTATCCACATCATAATCAGCCTTATGGGTTTTGCTGGTATAATGAGGTTCTGAATTTGTCAGCCTTGAGTTCTTACCACATCACTAACCTCATGAGTCTATTAGCAGGGCTACAGTGGTGCTTTTAATCAGCCTAAAATAAGCCAGGCCAAAGTAAAGGAAGAGGTAGGACTCAAATAAGTGGGTAAAGAAGAACTGGTGGAGACACTTGGTTACTTGAAGACAGGGACACTTGTCAGCCATATAACAGCACCATCCTGCTGCTCCGAGAAGCACCAGAGATACTAGACTTCTTCACCATTGCTGCTGAGCTAACTGGGAACTGCTTATAAGCATTGACTCCAAACCTTAGGAAGTCGGATGGTGGTTTACTTCAGTTTCCCCCATCTGTCCCACCTTTGCACCTGATCGTACTTCTTGTTCCTCACTGTTTCCCTCACAAGGACAAATGAAAGGTTTGCTGCAATAAATGACTGTGGGGAAGGATTTGGGGAAGGAAACAATTAGCTCAAAACCTTTTTTTTTTTTTTAAAATCTTGCAGTCTGTCAAGTCCACACTAGAGAAAGATGTTACTGCACTCCTTAATAGATTCTTAGTTCCTGCTGCCAGTGGTTCGAGTTGCCACCCATAGAAAATGAACGATTCTAACAAAACCCCTCTTACACTGGCATAGCAATGAGCTGAAAAATTCATACCCTCAGCAGACTAACCTGACACGGGCTATCCTGGTAAAGTCACAGATGCTGCCTGCGTCACAGGCAGGCACAGTTGCAGTATAGGCAGCGGCACTTCTTTTTCCTCTGCTCAGCCTGGGCTAAGGGACAGTTCTCCACTGCTGCTTAAATGCAAATGGTTGTATCAAACATTTGTCACTAAAAAGAACTGTTCATATCGCTGTTACTCTGGAAAAAAAATATGAAAGCCGCTTTTTTAGTGAAGAGCGTGGGGCTGGCAGCTGGCTCAGAAGCTGCCATCTGTTATGTGTGCGTCACTGTAAATGGTGCAACTCAGTCAGTTCAGCCAGTTACTCCAACTGTGTTCATTTCTGTCAGGTACGGCTGCCTCTCTTGCCCATTTGTTTCCTTATGGGTGTTGTGGCAAAGGAAGAGATTGTCAAGCAGAATCTAAAATGTAGGGATTTGCTGGATGAAGCAAGAAACTACCACCTTCACCTGAGCAGCAGGGCAGTGCCAGACTTTGAGTACTCCATTCGCACAACACCAAGGAAGCAGACTGCTGGTAATTAAATGTGTGTCTGATTATCCAGTACGGAGTGGTGTGGAGAAAAGGCAGCACATCTGTGCAGGGTTAGATAGCTTGGTCTAAATGGTTGTTAATAACTTAATGCAAAATTGGGAAAGCCACTGTGTACCTTTCTGATAATTAGGTAATGTGCTGTGTTTTCCTAGCAGAACTTTAGCAGTCATTTTCTTTCTTTAAAACATTATTTATCCATCCTGATTGGGCCTAGCTGTATTAAAGCTAGAACTGTTAAGTATGTTATGACCAGGCAGTATACTCAAAGCTATACTGAAAACAGTGGACACTTACCTTTTGGTGCAAGAAGGTTGCGCTAACTTTTAAACTCTTTGGCTAGCCTACACCAAAAGCAAGTGACGAGAGATTAGATTGCAAATCCTAATTTTTACATTGTTACATTTAACAAACAATGTTTATCTCCCTAAGCAAAATCACAAAAAAGCATATTTAAAATGTGCATGGTTTTTGCAAGAACATAGTTAATTGCCATAGCAGCATGCCAAGCAAAGGCCAAAATCCAGCATCCAATTATGCAGGGCAATGACTGTGCCCCTTGAAGTGAAATATGACTTCTCCTGAACTACATAATTTTCAGTTCACTCTGCTACACAATTTTATCCCCCGTCTTCCTGCAAGCTTTCTGGAAACCTGTTTTGTCTTCTTCAGGTGTGCTGTTTTGTGTCGGTGGTAGAGGTGGATCAGGTGACCCATTTCGCAGCATTGAATGTTACTCCATCAGTAAGAACAACTGGTTCTTTGGCCCTGAAATGAACAGCAGAAGAAGGCATGTGGGTGTGATCTCTGTGGGAGGTCAGTAACCCTATTCAAGCAACCCTATTCAAAAGGCACTTGTTTGCTCCTTTTGCTGGAATTGGTATTTTTACTAAATAAATGTCTTGCAATGGCTTAACTGTTGGATGTTCTTCAATTTAGTAAAGTTTCTTCCCCATGAAGGGGTTTTTGATTCTGAAATAATCTGAGAGCGTGCTTACTGAAAAGACATTACTGTGAACTGAGAGAGTTGGGATTGTTCAGCCTGGAGAAGAGAAGGCTCCAGGGAGACCTTATTGTGGCCTTCCAGTACTTAAAGGGGCTACAGGGAAAGATGGGGACAGACTTTTTAGTAGGCCCTGTTGCAATAGGACATAGGGTAATGGTTTTAAACTAAAAGAGGGTAGATGCAGACTAGGTATAAGAAAGAAGTTTTTTACGATGAGGGTGGTGAAACACTGGAATAGGTTGCCCAGAGAGCTGGTAGATGCCCCATCCCTGGAAACATTCAAGCATTCTGAGCAACCTGATCTAGTTGAAGACGTCCCTGCTCATTGAAGGGGGCTGGACTAGATGACCTTTAAAGGTCCCTTCCAACCCAAACTGTTTTATGATTCTATGACCTGTATAAATGGCCTCTTGCCTTAGTAGGTGATTTAATTTTTTTTAAATTCATTTATAAAGAAACAGCCTTACACAACGGAGTCACCCAGAATTTGCTAGTACTCATACTAGCTTCCTTCATACTTAAATCCATACAGGTAAGTCACTAAGACCATAACTCTTCCAAGAGCAGACCTACCTTTATTTTTGGGTCTCCATCTTCTGAAACCAAGTCCATGCAAGTCCAGAGCAGCTTAGCAGCATTCATGATGCAACTTTTCCTTGTACTCAGTAGTCCCTGTGTTGCTGCAGCAGAACAGAGATTTTTTTTTTCACCCCATTGAAAATCTAGAGACTGATATAAACATCCAAAACTGATTTGACCTGCAGTGCTCAAGTTATGGGAAGATTTTTTTGTCTACATACCTCAAGCTTTATATAAAAGTCTATGTTAGAACAGATCTCTGGTTGAGTACAGCATATAATAATATAAACTCTGTACTTATTAAGATCCTGATATTGAAAACATTTGAAAACTTTAACTTTTATTTGAGCTTTTTGTCTCCACTTAGGCAGTGATATTACATAAATAACAACTGAAATGTTGCCAAGCAATCTCTGTATTGAAAGATGTGTACATGTTTCAGGTAAAGTCTACGCAGTAGGTGGACATGATGGAAATGAACACTTAGGAAGTATGGAAGTATTTGATCCTCTCACAAACAAGTGGATGATGAAGGCATCAATGAACACAAAGAGGTATGTGTCCCATGATCCAAAATGTAAGTCCTAGTCTGTGATATATCATTTCTTGCTGATGCTGAGAAACATCATGTCTGTCCTGCCTTTATTTGAGTTTCCAAACTGTGCTATTTTTAGGAAAAAAATTTTCCTATTTTGGGGGCTTTATGCTATCAACCAACTTTATTTACTAGCTGTAAAGCAAACACACATCTGCATCACATAATTGTATACATCACATATTCGGACAAACACAAAGTTGTGCATAACATACTGTAAGTATTTCAATGCAAAACTGCATAAAGCCTCTCTGTAGGGAGAGGCTCTGGCTGGTAACATTGCTTATGTTTACATTTTGGCTTTCTTTTGTTGCTGTATTACCCTTTTCTTTTTTGGGAGGGCTGGCTTCTGGAGCAGAGAGCTCTTCTACTCCAGCTGTGCTTACATTCTGGTATCTAAGGCTTTTCTGCTATGCCCGATAAAGAACTTGAAACTGATTAACTGGTTCTGTGGGGTTTTTGCTCTTTTTAAGAATGAGCAAGATAACTTCCAGCAGAACATGCACAGTGAAATACTTCATGCCCAGGAAACGAATAGCTGCCTGTGCTTTTGCCACAAAAGTCCAGAAGCACTAAAACACTGAAAGTCAGATTGAGGATTTTTCTTGCCTTTTGACATTTAAGATTCTTTTAAGGAGCTACTGGACTCACAGATCTGTGATTTTTTGTTTCTACTGTCATTTAAATCAACTTCCATAATTCTACATTCCCTTTTGTTATTTGTTGTTTCTGAAAGTATCATGTACAAGTAGGACGAAAATACTGAGTATAGTTAAGTCCTAAAGCTACCTGTAGCTGTGAACTAATCAAAGTAGAAACCCAGACATCTGGAACTGTCATCTTGCTCCTCTTCCTCCCTCCTGCACCACCCCAGGGCATATTGTCAGCAAATGTCAGCCCTAGATTTCTGTGACATTTCTTACTCAGTACCTTGGTAAATGAAAGGGCTGCTGTGCCTTGTCTATGTTCCTCTCCTCTCATTCATGGAGGTGGTGTCAGAATACTTAAGTTGAGAAAGAACTGCCACCATCGATGGTGTCTATGTTATTTGCTGAGGCAATTTAAGATAAGCCCAGGATATTGCCACAGTGTTTGTTCTGTAGAAAGATTGTGCCTCCCTTGCTCCTGCCTAGGTATCTGCGAACTTGCCCTCTGTGTAGTAAGACAAGAATGTTCTCAGCGAAATGGTAAATCACCTGTCTTGGTGGTTAAGGCAGAAGCTTAATGCTTAAATTCTAGACCATACTTTTCATTTTCTAGTACTGATTGTACCCCCATATTGGTAGATTCAGTAGGAAAAAACCTGACAACTATTTTAACGCAGACTTAATAGAAAATTAAAGAATGGAATAAACTGTAATTAAATCTTGCTTGAGTTCAGTCATCTAATATTCAGCACAGGTTTGCCTTTTAATATGTATTAATATCACACCCCCAAATATCACCCCCAAAAAAATAATTCCCAAAATGTAGCAGCAGCTATACCAACAAAGTTAAAAGCAGGTTTTGGTTCGCCAGAGTCAATAAAACAAGACAGGAGGTGTAAAATTCAGTACCAAGATAGAGAAATCAAATAACTAAGACAATCTCATATATCCAAGCATGGAAGTAGGGCCTTAGGTGACATTCAGTCAAAACAGTATTCCATGCTCCCCACCTTTATTTTTTTTTATTGTTTTTAAACAGGAGCTTTGTGTTTTTGCAGTCTAAAAATATCCTAGCTGCAACAGTCCTGTTCACAGACCACACAGTAACATACAGGTGCGTGGGAAAGATGAGGTGAAGTTAAGATAAAACTCTAGACCCTCTCTAATGGGAGGCTGCAAACATACAAAAGACTTGCTGCAAGGTGTGCAGAGGGCCAGCCACAGTTACTGCTTATTATTTATTATAAACTTCGCTTTTTAAATTTTCATTATTTTTTCCCATAGCTTGAAACAGGTGCCAGTCAGGTAACATTGCACTTTCCCATTCCCTTTCCATAAGGATTTGCACTGAGTTATTGATCCTATGGTTTTCCTAGGAGAGGAATCGCTCTTGCCTCCCTTGGTGGCCCCATTTATGCAATAGGAGGTTTAGATGACAACACTTGCTTCAGTGATGTGGAAAGATATGACATTGATTCTGATCGATGGAGTGCAGTCGCCCCAATGAACACTCCCAGGGGAGGAGTCGGCTCCGTAGCACTTGTGGTAAGTGACTGTTTCCTCCCAAGTCGGGGCCAACTGAGGAACTGACCTACTTTTCAAATCTGCTTTTACAAGGGAGAACACAAGATTTTAAACAAAATCCAGCTGGTGCATCTGAGCACCTCCAGTCATCAAAATCCTATGGAACTGTGCAAAAGGTGAGGATATTTAGGATAATACTCATATCAAATTGAACTGTGCTCCCTGTTTCAACAGTATTTGAGGTACTGAGAGCAAGTACCAGGACCCTTCTAATAACATCAGGCTAATGCTTCCTGTCTCATTCAGAAGACTGTTTTGTCATGGTTACTATGTTTAAAGGTAGTGAATGCATCTGCCCTTTAATTACCTTTTGCCATGTACACTCTGCAAAATATCTGCAACACTATGTAACTTTTTCACTTCTTTAATTGGAAGATAGCGTTTACAAGTTGTTAGATAATTAAGTCTATTGGTGGAATTCTTAAATGAAAGTAAATAATTAGGCTATGGATATACCATGTTATCCTATAATTTTAACATTGCTTATGAAAAGCTGAGTAAATACATACCCATTACAAATAATCCTTCTCTATACTGTTTTCCAGAACCATGTTTATGCTGTGGGTGGCAATGACGGTGTAGCATCTCTTTCCAGTGTGGAGAAATATGATCCCCATTTGGATAAGTGGATAGAAGTGAAAGAGATGGGTCAGCGAAGAGCTGGCAACGGTGTCAGTGAGCTCCATGGCTGCTTGTACGTTGTAGGTGAGTAGGGATGTGGCATTCTGTAGTGCTGTTTCTGCCAAGTGCTGGCATTTGTGGAAGAGGCTGTTGTTGCTAGAGGAACTGGGGAACAGATAGACCTGACCTGTACTTTGTGTTCTTGGGCAGGAGAAGAAAGCGAGCACAACCAGGGCATGTTTAAACAAAGGTATGTTAGCAGAGAAATAAAAAGCAGTTCCTAACACACATTTCTGAAGGGCTGTACTGTTCAGGGCAATATGTCTGTATACAAAATCTTCTCAAGACTCACTAATCTTGAGTTTCCTTTTAGGAAAATGATTCTTAAGCTCACACACTTTTAAAGCACTCTAGTTCTATTTTGAATGTAGGCAACAGTAGCTTTTTCACACAGTGATTACACTTATTCCACAGCCTGTTGCCCTAGGCCTGTCTTGTTCTGCTTTGCCTTGCATTTATTTGCTTTTCCTGAGGAAAATGCCAGGTAGGTATGCTGTAGTGTTAGTTGCACAGCTCTGCCTTGTGTATTATCATAAGTAATTAAAAAACTTTCAAGTAAAATGCTTCTGTGACAGCTGCCTCAGCAAGGGGAATGCATCACTGAAGTCTTACCTGAGGATTTTATTTTTTTTTTTACTCAAGTTTTCAGCAATGCTGTAATTTGAAAACACTGCAAGAATCTGTTTTGCTGAAGCCAAAATAAGATCAGGACCATCCTTTTACTGGTCTTAGGGTTTTTTTCTATTCCAAATTAGAAGCTGTTTCATTATAACTATGTGTAAGATGAATTCCAGGAGAAAAATAATAGAAATCTCTCTCCTTGCAACTTGAGGAGAAAAAAAACCGGTCACTCTTGGTGATGCTTGTATGGTGGCAGCAGGGAGAGCTGTTAGATTAATTTTTAGGAACTTGTAAAGTTCACGTAAAGCAATAGAGCTGGACACTAGCCCACTGAACACTGAGAACAGTCTGATAATGCCAGTCTAGGATATCACCAGCATTAGAAGTGGCTAAAAACTGATCATGTGATGATTCTTTGCAGGTGGCTTTGATGACAACTCTCCACTGAGCTCAGTGGAGCGGTTCGATCCACGCAGTAACAAATGGGAGTATGTAGCAGAGCTTACAACTCCGAGGGGTGGCGTTGGCATAGCAACACTGATGGGTAAAATTTTTGCAGTTGGAGGTCATAATGGCAACGCATACCTGAATACAGTGGAAGCATTTGATCCCATAGTGAATAGGTAATTTAAAATTTTTTATTTGGCTTAATAAGACAAGGAAAGCTCCCTGTATGAAAACACACCATAATAGAAATAGTGTGCAGCAGGAGTCTATCTGTTGTTTCCTGGTAATAATTGAGTAATATCCATGATGAGTGATGCAGGAGTGCTGCTTATGCCATTAGGCTCTTCTTGTAAATATTTAAGCACCTCCTCCTTCTCCCCATCCCTTGTCCTCTTCCCTTCATTCAATAAGAATCTACATTCTTCTGGTTGTTTTAATTTGATTTTGCACTAAATTTACCAGAGAAATAATAAGAATAAACTAGCAGGATGTTTTTTTGTGCAGACTAAACAGCTAGGCTGTATAATAGAATTTCAGACAGAGAAAAAATATACTTCCAAGTTGCTCAGAAAGGACAGGAACTTACTTTCCTTTTTTTCCTCTGCCATCATCTTTAGGTGGGAACTTGTCGGCTCTGTGTCGCACTGCAGGGCAGGGGCAGGCGTGGCTGTGTGCTCTTGTCTCAGCAGCCAGATCCGGGACGTGGGCCAAGGATCCAGCAATGTTGTTGACTGCATGTGAGCTCTGCTGACTCCTCCAAATTCCAGAGGAATCATAGTAGGGAGGCACTGCAGAGCTTTTTAAACACCATGTTTTGTATGGTAGGTTAAGAAATAAAACCAATACATTTTCTTTGTGAAAATGTTACCTTCTGCAACTGTAAAACTTTTGATGGGTTTCTATCAGTAGTGATACAGAAAAGCCTGTGAAAACATGAAATAAAAGTGTGACTCACAGGAGAAAACCTGCCAAGAGCTGCAATCATCCCATTTTTGAGAAGTTGTAATTTCAGAATCATTTGAGGCAGCTGTTGCAGGGACTCATTATTGAACTGTAAATCAGGCATGGGGTGAGGAGAGCGAGCAGCAGTTAGTACTGCTGAGCCTTAACCCAACAGCCCTGCTACCTGTTTTTCTGGAGGACTCGAGTGCCATTTAATATAACTTATTTTCAGAAATGTAGTCTTAAACATTTCCTAATTGTACAAGAGCTTTGTCACACAAAGCATCTCAAGTTTTAGAAGGTAACGACATCCCTGTTGCACACTAAGATAACTGGAGCAGAGAAGTTCACTGCCCATCTCCCAGGGAACTGCTGGCAGCAGTGGAAATTGCAGGTACTCAGTCTGAAACCTGTCTTTCAAAGTACTTTCTTAAGCCAATACACTTGTTAGAAAGCTGAAAAGATTCTTGACCTGAGTTTAGCCACTGGTATACTGGAATTCTCAAGTCTTCAATAAAATTTGTAGTAACTACCCCCCTCCCAAAAGGCCAGTTTATGTTGAGAGGTCATTCCTTAAGTAACCAGTGTAATTTGTCCTACTTTGAGATGATAGTGTGCAAAAATGTAGGCTTCAGTGGTGTCTGAATCATTGTTTTTATATGAAATGGAAACACACAATAAAAGTTGCAGTATTCTGTAAAGACCTTTAAATGCAACTCTAGGAGATGACATGTCCAATTTCAGTTCCCAGTAGCAACTCTGGTAATTCTAGAGGTACTGGCTCTTTTAAGATAATTAAGCCAGGAAGATCTAGCCTCAAAACAGGTAGATGACTTAAAGCTTACATAAACCAAAGAGAATCAGCAACAGAAAGAACTGGAAATAAACCAGTACTTACATCAAAAACTGAAATAGGAACTTGGCAGTGCTGTGTACAAAGGTGTCTTGTTACGCAGTCAGAAACTCTGAAATTCCAAGTGAAGTCCAGCTGGAAAGACTGCAGATTCCTCTTCCTGCATCACCTCGAACAGACCAACAACTGACAATCCTTTGTGACCAAAGTTTCACGTTACCAGTTGTTCCAAGTGACCAGGGAGAGCAGCAAACGTCTCTGCATTCAGTGCCAGGGAAGAGGCAGGACAGTAGGAGCCTAAGGCACAGTTATATTTTGCTGTTGAGTTAACCATCATTCAGCTTTTCTGTTTCCAATGGTTTGCACTTTGGTAGCACCCAGGGACAAAGTGAACGGTACTGTAAATAATGAAACATTGCAATAAAATATTTGTACTTTAAAGCACCTTGTTTATAATGTGACTGGAGCATGCTATTGTGGGGATACATTACAACATTGAGTATCTTTTTGTTTCTGCTGAGTATAATTCTCAACAGGAAGCCTTTGTCAGCAGGGAAAATGCTGTGTTACAGCCGCCAGCTGTACCACCTTGCAACTGCCCCTGCCCCCATGCAAGGATGTGGTCACCCTTGTGACCAATCTGGCTAGGAGGGGTGGAAAGAAGAGGTGCAGGTTCTTTCTCTGGGACTCAACTGGTGGTTCTGTGCATGTCCTGACTAACAAGAAACCATAAGGAAAAACAACAACAACAACAAGCAAATTTTCCACAAAGTAACACTGACTGTGAAACCAAGTAGCCTGGCAGTGCTGCTTGCTAGCTGATACAGTTCTCCTCCTGGTGGGAAAGTGCTAGTACCCATGGGTGCAGCCTGTAACTCGCACATATCTGGACCACACTGACAGCAATCACCTTCCAGGCACCAAAGGGAGATGTGTATGTTCAGCTGGGCAATACAGTTACAGTGCATGCACTGGGGTTCTGTATGGTGTGGGAGGAGATCTGCTATTGACCCTGCAGCTAGACGTCAAATGGCACTAGGGCTGAATGCTTGGGTTGTATTCCAGTTTGCACCTTCCCACCCCCAACAACATTTGTGCTCAGGCTTGTGGAGGCATATTGCTAAGGGCTGGCAGACCAGCAAAAAAGGTTTACAAGGAATAATCCTGTTGCCAGTATAGTGGTGTCCACGTTATAGATGGCACCAGAACTAGAACTCATTTTGTTGCAGAACTGGATTTTTGAAACACCATTGCTGGAAATGTTATAATGATGTTAGAAGTATCAAAAAAAAAAAAAAAAAAAAAAAAGAAGTACAGGGTTACTGCGGCAACAAACTGTAATGACGTACTTGCATATAAAGCTGCTGTTATTTAAGACCAGCAAACTCATTTTTCTTCCAGTACTGGCAACACGACATGACAAAAAGAAGGAACACCTCCCAGGCAGAGGGAATGGAGCCGTCCACCCTGGTTCCCGGTGGTGAGGCAGCCCTCCAGTGGCAGCAGGCCCGAACTCCCACCACAGCTTCTAATTTAAAACTAAATTCAGGATTTGTGATGATAGCAGTGTCTTTAAACGTTCAGGGTTGTGAAATCATTGCCTCTAAACACGATGCATGTCTGATCCCAAATGTGCTATTGTTACTGCTTCTGTTAATGATGTTTTTCCCTGCAGCGTAAGAGCCGACCTCATCCATAAAAGTCATAAACCCAAAGATGTCTATTAGTATATTCTTTAAACACAAAGAAAAAAAATCCTTTTGGAAGAATCAAGTGTAGTCACAGCTACTCACAGCCAAGTTTACAGCCTACTGAGTTTAAGCATGTCACAGGCTTCTGGGAGGAGCAGGACCAGACTCTGGACCACTCTTGACCAGCCCCCTTGGGCATGTATCTTCACTCACTCATGTGTGTGCAGGCAGTGCTTATGGATCACCCTGCTGCCTGTCTGCCCCACTGCTGCCCCAGCTTCTGGGACGTGCTGCCTCCCATCGCAGCTCTCCTGCTGCCCCACAGCAGCCCTCACGCACAACACTGCTGCTCACCTCGGCCTCAGTCTGTGGCTTCCCACTTCCTCCCAAGGACAGCACATCATCTGCTGTGCCACCCACAGCCAGGTTTGTCCTCAGGAAATTTTAGTCTGAGCACTTTTATGTATGGAAGATCAATACAAAGACAGAGATTTCCCTTTAAGTTAGATTTCTGATTGCTACATTAAAATAGTAATTTCTGATTGTATTTTTTTTCAGGCCATACCATAATACCATGATGATGCAAGGATCTTGCATGTATTAGTGCTTATTTCAATTTTGTAAAATACATACTTTCAAAATAATCTTAGATTCATTCCTTATTATTTATGTTCAAAGGGGAGTGTGAGAATTTGGTTGTACTTTCAAAGCTTTGAATACTTTTTAATATTGCTCTTCCCCAAAGGCATCTCATTCCTAATAGAGCCATGCTTGCAGCAAAACCATTTGGATTAGACATCCTGCCAAAATATTCAGATGCGGACAGACTACTTCAGAAGGTGATGCGTGTGCTACTTGCATATTTTAAAACATAAACAAAATACCTGCATGCACTCAGTCCCATCAGAAAGACTACAGATTTTCCTCCTCTTTGAACACCAGCTGAGACAAAATGATTTCACTGAAATGTCTGCCTGTAGAGGGGGATGCAGCCCTGCAAATAACCGAAGCTTCGCAGAGGGCTTTGCACACACCATGTATTTATGCAACATAATGAACAAGCGGTCAACCGATGGCCTTGGGTTGCTGCACAGAAGCAGGAGGCAACAGTGATCCCAGCCAGGCACTGGAGGGATCCCGTGTCTGTCTCCAGGATCTTCTTTCAGATGCGGTCAAATCTGGGGGGCAGTTATTGCACTGCCAGTGTTGTTAACCCGTGTAGCATGCACACACATAGGGCAGACTGAGCATGTCAGAAGCAATTTATTCGTCAAAACCAAGGAACTACTCTTGCTTGTGATCTGGTAAGACACTTCTTTTTTTAGAGCAGTGGGAAGGTAATTAAATAAAAGCACAACTGTCGCCAGCATGACTGGGAGCAGATTCTGAAACCAAAGCTTGGGCTGAACAGCCTCTTTATGCTCAGACTGCATTCAAGTGCTAGCAAAAGAGATGCAGACATCAAAAAAAGATGTCCAGCAGCAATAAGGCTATCAAAGCCCCAGGAAATTTTATGAGATCGCTTCGCTGCTCTGAACTTTTGTGTGCGCTCACCTAAACTGAGGCTGCCTTCCTGTGTCCCAACTGCATGACCTCAGTTCTGTGTCTTGCCTCCACTTGCAACAGTATTTTGACTCTGAAGTGATTCCATCTCTTCTAGGAGTTGGAAACAAGCTGCATGAGAAAATTCACGGCAACAGGCAAAAACATCTAAAAATGGCAAATACTGAGGAATGGGGAGCAGGCCTCCCCAACTCGGCAGCTCCTGAGTACATAAAGGTTTGTTAAAGATAAAATGGAGTGCTCAGAACGCAACGCTGATTGCGCAGCTTCCCAACAACTCCAGCCCAGCGTAACTGCCCTGAACCGCAATGAGAAACAGAAGCGGTTGCATTGACCTCATTTGCTGCGTGTCTGCTCTTGTCTGCTGAGACAGCTGCAGAATGCTCAGTGTGATCTTGTGTGATGGGACCATGGCTCTGACACCAAATGACACTGACATTCATTTTACAAACAAGTTGTCATCAGGCGATGAAAATTTAGCCAATTAACCTCTTCAAGCTTAATTAGAACAGATTCCTGGAAAGTCCGTAACTCCAGATTACTCCCACAGATAAATGGGGCTTTCTATCTTCATTTAGGCTGAAACTGCTTTTAAAACTTTCCAACATTGCTGTAGTGCACAGTTTTGCAAACCCAAGTACTTTATTCCAGATGCTACACTTCAATTTTTTTGCTGGCTACTTTTACCACAT